ATCAGTACAAGGCAGAGACTGAACTGCTGGAAAGTAGTTCTGCAGAGAAGAACCTGAGTGTCCTGGTGTACAACAGGTTGCCCATGAGTTGCATTATGGGTTGCATTCAAAAGAGCGTGGCCAGCAGGGCAAGGGATGTTCTCCTTCCCCTCTACTCTCTCTGAAGGAGGCCACCTCTAGACTACTTTATCCAGCTCTGGACTCCTCAGTTCAAGAAAGAGAGAGAAGAGAATCCAGCTGAGTGCTACAAAGATGGCAAGGGGTCTGGAGGAGCATCTCTTCTATGAGGGAGGAGTGACACCTCAGTCTAGAGAAGACTGAGAGGGAATCTTATCAACATTTCTAAGTATCTGAAGGGCAGATGTCAAAAGGATGCGGCCAGGCTCTTTTTGGTGGTACCAGATGACAGCATAAGGGGCAAAAGGCACAAACTGGAATACAAGAGTTCCGTACAAACATGGGGAAATCTTTATTTTGAGGGTAACTGGAACAGGCTGCCCAGAGAAGCTGTGCAGCAACTTCTGAGCAAACCACTGTAGTTACTTGTGGTATCTAGTTATGTCCTTACACACCTGGTGAACAGCTGAGATAGAAGTGGATAACTAATTCAGCTGTTATGCCTGGAACCACAAACCTCTGAACCTTCTCAGGGGAGATGCATCTTTGCATCTGTGGGAAGCACTGGAGAGCAGAAGCCATCTGTTAGATGAACTCTGGTAATAGGACAGGTAGGCAAGCACACAAGCAACCAAAAATTGCTTCATTATCCTCTCTGGACATGATTTACCAGAAAAGATATCTAGAAATTGTAACTCTATTTTTGCTAGTGTTACCAAAATGAGAATTTGCTCTCCTAGCATATTCAATTTGCTAAGCTTTAATACTGTGTTTTACAGCACAAGAAAACTCTGCCAACACAAACCTCTGCTGTTCCATACTTAGTAAACATCCCAGCTGGAATCACCCTGCAGCAAAACCCATGCTACCTGCACTTCTTCTGCTTGTATCCCTGAAGCCCATTACTACACTGGAAAAGTGCACTAAGGATATGACAACAGGTCAACACAGTTAAAATAACCCCAACACAGGTTATTTTAGCTATGAAATCTCAAGCTGCTTTGAAAGACTTGGGAACAATTTATCAGAATATACAATTCTGTCTTATTTTCTGCTCTTCCCTCTGATAGGCATTTTATGCCTGCATGCTTCATCAATTAATGCAAGGATTAGGCTGCTGAAAATTACTGATCTGACCATGAATTCATCTGTCATGGACACAAAATCCTTGTCCACCACCATCCCAAATTCTTACACAATGTTAGAAAGTTATTTCCTCCCTAAATCCCCAGAGCATGATGGAGTTTACAGAGCTTCTCTACGCAAAATCCAGGTGTCAGAATTATGATGGAGGATAACAGAAGTCTAGAATCACAGAATCATAGAACAGTTTGGGTTGGAAGGGACCTTTAAGATCATCTAATTCCAACCCCTTGCTATAAGCAGGGATACCTCCCTCTAGACCAAGTTGCTCCCAGCCCCATCCAGCCTGGCCTTGAATGCTTCCACAGAGGGAGCAAACAAAGTCAGCAAACAAAATTTGGTGCAATAGCAGTGATTGTCTCTCAGTGCTGTTTTTTGGCATGGTATCAGTTTTTACTCCATTTCAACATCACTCCAGAAAAGAAACCTCACAGACCATGAAGGAACCTCCTCGCACTTTACAACTGCCGCAGGGTACTCAAGGGTAGGATCATCACAGAATCACAGAATTGCTCGGGTTGGAAAAGACCTTAAAGATCATCAAGTCCAACCTCAACCTAAGCATACCACCCTAACTCTTAACAACCCCCTGCTCAATCATGTCCCTGAGGAAATGGATGAATGGATGAGGGATGGAGCAAACTTGCAAGCAAGCAGTAGGGACACTGTGGGACCTGACAAACATTCTAAGATTGCTGCAGTCTTCATCAACACTGCTTTACATCTACATCTGGCTGCACGACAAGGAAGCCTGTTCTCTAGTAGCAGCTTCACTTTCAAAAAGATCAAGTGCAGAGAGTAAGCAGAAACAAATCCATTGTATATTTCTCCTCTACTTCACAGTGAACTTTGTTTTCACTTAGCATCTTTCTTTCTTTCCTTCTCTTTTCTTTCTTTTCTTTCTCTCTTTCTTTCTCTCTTTCTTTCTCTCTTTCTTTCCCTGCAGCTGCAAGAAAGATCTAACAAGCAATAGGACACAGTCTTCTAAGCACACAGGCACACTTGCAGTATTACTCACATCAGAAAAGCTTTTCAGGGAATCCAAGTACTTGGCAGCTTCCTTGTTTCTCACTATATGGTACAAACAGAAAATTACTACAGCTTAAAAACCTCTTACCTTTCAACAGAATTAATTAAATTTTGATAGTATCCTTGAGGCTTTTTTTTTTTCCTGTGATCACTTATTATTGATTTGTAATTGATTCTCACCGTAAGATTAGTCTTTGTGATAGCAAGTTTCCTTTAAGTAAAAACTAAAAACTTCGTTTTCAGACCTCACCTTGGCAAGCAGAGAACAAGCCACTGAACTCTGAATACCTTTAAGTCCTTGTTGATGGACTTTGCACAAAAAATAATTTAAGCAAAGGTCTGTATGGGAGCTACTTCTGTGCTAAACAGACTCAAAACATACTGATTATTTGTAACCCACATTTCAGGGCTGCAGTATTATTTTTTTTTTCCTGTATAGCTTACAAGCTCTGTAAGAACATCTGCTAAACTCCCCAAACTATGTATGTAGGCACGTGTCAGCTCTTGGCATCACAGTGCAAAATATACTCCACTAGCTGTTCGACACCCTCGGAATTTTAATTGTTTTTATGGTAACTTGAGAGCTAACTAAACACAGCACTCACCACCCACTGCTGAGAGTTTAAACAAGACAAATCATGGCAGTGGATTTCACAAAGGACTGAAGCAAGAGACCAGAAAGAGGCCGTGTACCTTCCACAATGAGCCTCTTCTAGACTGTGACGACTTGATGCCTTCTTAGTTAAACAAACACAAGGGAAGGCAAAGGGTGAATGTACTGCTCCCAACAAGTTACCAGCTTATGAATGTTTCTGAATCCTCAACAGCTGCTCCATTTGTTTGCAGTCTACAGCTGCTATTTTGCAGTTTCCCCACAGAAAAGAACCAGGAAAAGCAAGGTACTCCTGCTATAAGCAGTTAATCTAGGAAAACATCCCCTGCTAGAGGGATGTACTGCAGTCTGTGTTACTACCTCCCAGAGAGTATGATATTCTGGTTGAGGAATGCTTTTCAGAAATTATCTTCACGGCTAATGAACTCCTGCTGCAACTGAGGATATGACCCAGAGTCAGACTCTGCATCTCTGGCCAGTTCTGCTTCCCTGAAGAGCACAATTCTTGGAGAAAACTTCGATAAGTAACATCCTTGGGAAGATGACTCAGTTTTGTGGCTTATGCTGTTAGCAGTGTAAGAGTGGAGAAGGCAGAAAGCTCTTAGGTTAGCAATGAAATCTTGCACAAGATCTGTCTTTCAGAATGTCCAGAGTGCACTAACTGGAGACTGGAAAGGTTCCTGCTGCTGACTTTTTATTTCCTTATACCCCCTGGCTAGATCATTAAACCAACAGTGTTTTTCAGCATGTTTTTTCTTGATCTTGAGTCCACACTGATAATTCCCACTGGAAAAACAATCTCCCTTTATCTTCACATTGAGCACTGTTTGACTTTCCAAAGCATTCTGAATATAATTTTTACAGTCCTTTTTTTTTCAGTCCCAGGTAACAACATTAAAAGATTCTCTTTGGAGTCTCTTGTATAAAATTCACAAGGAGCAATTCCCCAATCACTATAACCGATTTCAAATGGTGCTAGAAAATATTATTGACTCTGAACACCAAAAGAAATCAGTCATCCTCTAAAGGGGTTACTGAGATCTGCAAGGATGAAGAGTTAGGTACTAAACAGTGTTTTACATTGGAGGATCCCCAAATATTTGAAAACATTCGTAGTTACCTCTGTGGCATTATTCCCTAGAAAAATTGTTTCAGCCAAAGATTTAGAAGATTTAGACAAAGATTTAGAAGATGAAAACTTTCAAAATCTTTAGTTACATACTCCTTTGCAATTGTACAGAGTAGCCTCAGTCAATGTGCTCTACCACGTTTGGACCATTCTCACAGATATTGATGCTAGTTATTTCCATCAACTACACCTATCACGTTAAGCTACCGACTGCAACCTGAACATTGAAAAATCTAAAAAATAAATAAGCACATTCAAATCTACCAAACACACCACATGAAAATGCAAACATGCAGCATCTGGATGTGGACAGCATCCAGCACTTTCAGTGTAATGTATGATACACACACTGTATGTAACAGGCACTTACAGAAGCAGTAAAGAACAAAAACCCAAAAAGGCATCCACGACGGGCAGAAAGCAGAGCAACTGAGGCTCCCTTCCTCATTTCTTGCCATAACGTAAGAATGTAATTCAACAGGGGCTGTTTTAACATCAATGTCTTCAATGCTGTGTTGCAATTCCATATTATGCTTTTCTGCAATGTTATGTCTCGTAAGTCCTTCTCTGTTTCCAAGTTCTGGTTGACTGGTTGACCACCTACAAATACTATAAACATGCTCGTGGCCAGCACCGTTACAACAGAATTTCTGCCTTTGAAATCACATATTGCACTGCTCTCCCAAGGGCTGTCTGAGGCATGCACTCTGAGGTCACAGCCTACTTAAGGAGTCTGTCCAGTGGTGAAGCTAACTCTAGCAACAGAAGCACAGAAAGATCTTGACCTTCTTTCTCCACCAGTGTTTCCAAGGATCCACTTCACTGATGAACACAGCAGGCATTCTTCCTCCAAGAACACTGATTTCAAATGGTGCTAGACAATAAATAGTTAAATCTAAACCACCATATGAAACCAGCTTCCTGAGGGAGCTTGTTTCTAGCCAAGACCATATTCCTGTAACAATAAATCAGAAGAGTATCTATCCATGGTGGTTTTTTCCATCTTTGTTTTTTCCTATTAAATAATCAATGCTTTTTTCTTACTTCCTGATTCTGCTTTGAGTCACCGAATGCTCATTTGTTTTCTATTACAGCGCTACCAACAGAAACAGAACTGCTTACAGCACTATTACCCTGAAGAATGTTGTTAATCCAGATTACAACACGTACCAGGGCGTACCGAAGGAAGAAGGACCCTCATCCTACTTTCAGAACTGCCGTCGTCCTGGCACAGTGTCTGCCGAGGTCTCCCCACAGCACCGAGATCACCGAGGACGTCAGTAAGAGAAGCACTGCTGCAAACTCCCTCTAGTGACAGCAAAACACCATGCGAAATGCCTCCTGCTCAGTGCTGAAACACATTATTTTTAGCAGCAGTAGCAGAAATAACAGCGTGTGAAACAGTCTATGTATCAGTCCCTGCATGCTGACTCGTCCCAAAGATGGACCGGTCCACCGTTTGTGGGTATTTGTAACGCTAGAGGTGTGTGCCCAAACCTAATGTGAGGGCTGCATTAATTAACTGCTCAGTGCTGGCACTTACCACCTGGTTCCACCACAATTTCTAGGAAGTCTGACACAAGGATTTTTCTTGGAACTCTATTACTCAAGTGTGTTTTAAACCATTTAATCTTTTCAAACAGATGTATTTTTTATAACCTGTCTTCAATGTCTCATTTCAGCTGGCAGAACAAACATACCCAAGTCGAGTCTACGAAATCAAGTCAAACAACTCCCAGTGTTTGCACAGATGAGGCACAGCCACGCTCACGGTGACATTCTGCGAAGCACTCCATAAGCACATCACAGAGCTTCAGCGAGAACAAATTACCCGAAGCAGCAGCAGCACAACAGCACAGCGTGTTCTGATGACAGAAGGCAACCGCTGTGCCCTGTGTGGCTGTAAAACAACACTGTTCTGGCGGGCGCAGGAAATGCTGATGCTTTAACACTGTGGACAATTTCCTCAAGGCATGAAAAAGCCTCAAACTTTGCCCTGCTGCAGTATAATTCAAGAAGTTAAGGGCTGTACTTGTTCCCTTCTGCAGTGTCATACCTGCACATTCTGTGCCTGCTGCTGGCAGCTCTGTGCAAGCTGACTTCAGCTGATTACAAACATCACCCGAGATGAACCCATCCGCAGTCTCCTGAGGACAGCCAAGTAGTGTTAAAATTGTTCTCTTCAGGCAGCAGGAAATCATGTCAGAAATGTAATTAATTACATCTATTTCCATGTGTTAATTACCTCCAGAGGTGTGTAACTCTTCATTTACCACAGCGACAAGCTAAACAACTAGCTGAGCCTAGAAACTGAGCTTCTACATGGCTGAAGATGGAAGAGAGAAATCTGAAATGAGCATAGGCAGTTCCCAGGGAATATCTGTTGGCAGGACAGCTTAAGCACTCCCCTCCCAGAAAATCTTCAAGAGAAAATCCAACAAATTTGGCATCAATCTGTGAGACAAGGAGGCAGTAAGGCTTCACAACTGTTATCTTCCCTGGTCAGAGGCAAGGCTGAACTGTTGCAGTGTGTGTCCATGCACAGTTACACGTGCCATGTACAATGGATTTGCAGCTGAGGTTCAGCATGTGTGTATGTGCATTTATTGCTACTCCTACAACGGGTGCAGACCACAATGTCTCAGTATGACTAACCAAAGGACAGACTCTTCCACTGAACACATCTGTACTTTTGAAGAAAGTGTCTTTCAAAAAACGTAAGAACAATGTGCAGTTCCAGAGCACAGACAGCGAGAAGCACTCCTGCATTAGGGCTGTAAACTGTTCTTCTAAACTGGAAGAACAAATGAACTACAGATAGAGAACTAAGCTACTTCTCCAAGACGCCTCCTAATTAGCTCCTTCAACTATCAGACCCTGCACATTTTTAATGAACCTTTGGATCTTGGACCTCTCTGTCCCTTCCACATTTGCTAGCAATAATTTCTTTGTTTAACTGGAGAGGAAGAAGAGGAGCAGAGGAGACAACACCTTCATGCTGATGATTCTACTTAGTAGAAAAGCAGGAACTTGGGAAACATAGAGAGCAAACTCAGCTCAGTTAACAGACTTACATAAAAACTGGAAATGGACAAGCTTCTTGTTTCATTGTTTCTGTAGTTACAAATAAACACTATTCTGTACCCGTTCAAAGGAAATAAAGCATCAGCAGTTTGATCTTCAGTATTACAGAATTCACAAGGCCTTATCTGACATCAGTGAGATTACTTACACGAGTGAAGCTACGTCAGAGATTAAACCACTGCAAGTTTGGAGTTTTCTCTGGTTTTGTTTTGCTGCTGAATAATTCTAGTGACTTACGAGTGGTTTAGCTGCAGCCAAAGGCTTACCAGGTCTTTCAGTGTATTGCTTCCTTTCCATGTTCTGCCATCACAGGAGCTGCCTAAGCAGATTTTGTTAAAGCTTTTATCTATGACAATTTTATGATCCATCCACGACAGGCTGCAAGACCGAGTCAGCCTGTAATTTGGAGACAATAGCCTTCAAGTTAGTTACGTCTGACAAATTGCTCAACTTACTGTAACTTTTCAAATTCCTTTTTTTAATAAAATGTGAAGCCAAGAGAAGATGACAGATTGATAACTTTGCAGAAAGCCTCTGTTAACAGAGCGGCTATAGCATGGGAAGCAGGAGTGTGAATTTCCTACTCAACACTTGGCCATGTATCTCACTTATGAGTTGCTGCAGATACCCCACGGCAATAAGACCAAGGAACCATAAAGGAATTGTTTGCCAGCTGAAAAAACAATTAATACTTACTGCAGTGAGGAAGGGAAGAACTGCCTACCAAGACAGTAATTGAGACTGTGAAGTCAGCTACAGATGTCTTTAAAGGGTTTTTTCCCCAGTAATTTTCAATGAGAACTTAAAGCACTGCTATTGGTGAAAAGCTGTTTCATCTTTTATTTTTCTGCACCATAAATCCCCCAGCGTTTTCACCACCAGACAAACGAATTCCAACTATCAAGAGAGCTCATCCGCTATGTAATTCATCTTTTTTTGTTCCCTTCATAAAACAAGCAGGAGAAATGTTTCTAATTTGCAAGGCTGAATAAATACCTACTGTGTTTGCCAAGACTTTATTGACATCCACTGGCTGTCCACAAAGCTGACTTATTTCTCAGATAGATGGTTTATCTCAAGCAAAAAAAAAAAAAAATCCAAACAACACAAAACCCCAAGATATTAATCCTTAAAAACAAACAAACAAATGAACAGTTCAATAAATATTTCTACATCCAGTGAAACCCGTCCAACTGGGATACAGTACCAGAGCAGGTTTTTGCTGACAGCAAGACCACTTAACATTGGGACATCCTCCAGTGCTTGCTGTGCCTCTGATGCTGCAGTTCATATCACCTCCAGTTGTACTGATGCAGCTGTCCTTGGGCCACGCTGTGAACAAAACCATTCACATGATTCTGATTCAAAGAAAAAAAAAAAAAGCATTTATTTGCATTTCTGTTCCTTACTAAGATATTTTCAGAGCCCTGGGTTTTCACATAGTGAGGAAAGAGATGGCATGGCATTGCTGCTGACCTGGAAATAAACGGATGGGAGTAGGCAGAAACATATTAAGCTGGCGCTAGCTAGAGACATGAACTGTGGAATCACACCTTGGATAACATCAAATCCCATCTCCCTTGCTCAGCTGGTCACGAGAAACAGAGATGAGAGTTTCAGTTTGCAATGAAACACATCCTGAACTTACAGACAAAAATCAATACATCAAACTTTGAGATTCTTACTGAAGTTTTACTAGGTCTTCATAAAATGCCCAGCTTTCACTCCTGGCCTGCTGCCTGAACTTTTTTTTTTTTGCTGAGTAATTTTGTTATCTTAGAACTGGCAACGTGAAAGAAACAATCTAAGCTTTTACAGCTGTGATTTAATGACTACAAGGTCTGTGCTGGCTTGACACAAACAGGTAACAAGAAAAACTGTTTAGTCACTTGGGGAAGGAAATTAATGACATGACAAATCATTACTGTTAAAATTTCCTACACTGATGACAATACTTTGCATACCTCGCTTTCCTTCCTGTCCTTTGTTTAGCATTAATGAAAAGATCTACCAAGCAAACAATTGGGAGTATTTCCTCTGGAATGGGCGAACAGCCCATGAATAAAGACCAGTATTACTAAGCAAACATCCATTTCATTTGTTCTGAGCGCACAATATGCTTATGTTTTTCATTTTTGAAGCTTCTCAAAGCCTCTAACAGGAAAGATCTGATGGCTAATGCTGCAAAGCATTTACAAGTACCACCTGATACCAAGGAGGGACACAGATGTGCTATACCTTAGGAAAAAAACAGCTTCTACCACGTCCAATTGTCTTTTTTTTCTGAACAATCCATTATGAATGAGAAAGGGTTGTCCTCAATCTGGAAAAAAAAATAAAATGTCAGAAGCTGTTTGTGTTGCTCTTGAAATAGACAATTGAAAATGTAACCTCATAATCATTCTTCTCTTCCTCCAGACTCCTCTACAGGCCTCGAGCCCTTTTCTCAAGGTCTGAACTTCGAGTGCTTTTACAGTCAAATCAATAAAACAGGCAACCAAAGTTTACTACTCAACTTAGAAAACAGACACTGTGTTCCCTGTCAAATGAGTCATTTTGGACTAGAGACCCAAAAATTACTGAATGATAGAAGTAAGATTTAACTGATTTGTTTTACTTTGAGGCACTGAATCCCTGGCAGTGGCACAGCCCCACACTAGGGTAAATAATTCCTTGCAGAAGAAGGACCTGCAAATAGTAGGAGCCAGCAAATCACCTACTGAATGAAGCAACGCCCTTGCTATGCAAGTCTTCAAAACGCCTTCATGTTTATTTTTTTGGGATTATTAGGGAAAAAGAAATCCTAAAAATACAAAAGCAAGCTTATCAAGCTGGGGAAAATACAGTGAGATGCTCGTATGACAAAAACTATAGTATACGAATTATGCATTACAAAAATTACTGTAAAAAAACTGACTTCAATTCTTACAGGGGGAGACAGATTTCTGTGCACTCAAATTCAAGCACAACCAGCACTCACTGCTCTGCAAGGAATGATCAGCAGATCTATATGAACATTATCATCATGCTTCTTTTTGCAGTACTTGTGAGATTGTGAGGCAGAGAAAGTGAAACAGTCTGTCTAACTCCTTGGAATCAGCCATCCCCAAACTCAGAAAGAGCTACTGAAACAGTAAGGGAACAGGAGTAGCCAGGCTTCTGTCTCTCACTCCACTATTTCTGCCCTTGTTCCCATCCTGTGCCCATCACCACAGCAGCTGACTGTTCCTCTGTCAAACAGCAATCTTTGGGGCAGCACAGGGGCTGCAGCCTTGTTTTTTTTGAGGGCATCACGGCTTTCTGGACAGAAGCATCACATGCTGCACTTCAGAAACTGTACAGGAGGATCAACAACTAACTCAATTCCCTATTTTTATAAGGTGTGTTAGAAGTACATTACCACTCACAACAAAAGCCACTGTTTCTTCCTGCTATCTTTTCACTCCACAAACATCATTTTTTTCATTCCCACTGCTGTTTTACATACACTGTAGTTTCTTACTGGGAACAGGGAGGAAACCAATAATCACTACGAAAATAAAACAGTCCTTCAGTTTAAAATATTTCCTCTGACTTACATCTTTTGGAATCTGAAGAGCCATGATCTTATTTAGAAACCACCCCGGCAAAGTCTGTGTTACGTAAGATCCAGGGGAAGTGCTAATCCTAATGCTGAGCAGAAATGGCCCTGTCACGAAGCACTCCAAACCTACAGCTCCTGTCTGGATTCTTACGCCTTGCACTGTACCACGTCCACTCATGCCTCTACAAAGGGAGCTCTCCAAATGAGGCGCTCGTAACTTTTCCTCCCCTCTGCTTATCTTCAGTACCCGATTTTCTTACACTGCTACATAAATAATCTTGCCAACTTGCCTGTCAGAGAAAGAAAGGTGATCTGGAAATAATTCCTCTTAGGCATGACTCAAAAGTAACAATGAATACACACCAAAGTGTTTATTTCTCTGTATTTTTTCTGGTATTGCACCGACTCCAATTATGACTATTTCGAAAAGATTCTCTGGTAACTGGAGGGCAAGTAAAATAAAACTAGCAGAAAGAAGAGAAGATAACAAATAACAGAGATAAGAAATCAAATCAGACCCAAGTGTGATTATTTTTAATCCCAAATGCATTCCCATACCTGATAAACAGGCTGCAGAAGATCTTCTAGCTGAAGATTCAAGTATTCCTGACCCCTCCCATGTGGAGTGACACTGCAAAAAACAGAAAAGCCAAACCAGAAATATTTTCAGAGCGAAACAAACCACCTTTGAATCTTTCTTCTGTTATGTTTAAGAAGTAAAGAAAGAAAAATTCATTTTTTAAAGATACCTACTTCCTATGTACCGGGCTGCACAGTCAGAATCACAGTACATGCCAGATGTATTTGCCCACATATTTCTCAGCAGGAAATACATCCCATGTAGAGAATGTATTCCATCAACTTACTGGAAAGGGGATTATTTACCTTTCTGTTTGTACTCATTTAAAAGTAGGCTTTCCATCAAAAACATGTTCTTTCTTTGGCACTGGGAAGGCACTCACAGAAGATCAGCACCTGGAATTCATTAAAGCATTTATTTAAATGTACATTTACATTTTCATTACAAAAGTATCTCCTTATAAAAGCAGAGGAAAAGTCGCATGGCTATCACACACTGTTACCAGTTCCCTTTCATCTCAGATTACCACATTCTATTACAGATGAAGAAAGCGGTACACATAAATAGGAGCTGCTGACACTTCCCACCACTCCAGGAACCCCCCCTCTCTTTGACCAACAGAATAAACAGAACCACCCAGAGGTTTTATGTACATGCATTTATATATTTAAAAAACCTCATGTGAGAAGTTATATCTATGCATAACCTTTTCTGCACCTGTTATTGTAGATCAAGAAATGTGACCTTATTAAACAGTTTTTCTTCTGTTCTGAAGTAAGAGGGTCGACAGACGTACCTGAAGATTTTAGGGACAGATGACTGGCTCCTGTGTTATGCTACAGATTGGAAAAGTCATAGAATCATAGAATGGCCTGGGTTGAAAAGGACCACAATGATCACCTAGTTTCAACGGCCCTGCTGTGTGCAGGGTCAGCAACCACCAGAGCAGGCTGCCCAGAGCCACATCCAGCCTGAGCCAGGAGATGAGAGCCATCTTCAACACACACGCAGCAGAGATGAAGGATTCCTGGCACAAGCAATGGCAGCACTGAAATTCCTACATCCCGTGGACCACATGCAGCTTTGAGCATTTACTATTCCATGTTCCTGAACCTCTTCATAATGCTCAGTTCATGCATTTGACTGCTGCTACAGGACAAAATACATCTCTAGGATAAAAACAGGCAATGTGCTTCAATAATGAACACTGATGCCATGCCACAGAAAATTACAGAGCTAATTATAGAATCACAGCATAAAGCTCAACATATTAAACAGAGCCAAACAGGAGATGAGAGAAAGTGCTGGATTTTGAAACTGATTTTGTTTTGCAGAGTATTCTTTGCTTTAACCTACTGCAGCTACTGAACAGCTATAGCTGTACTAGGAAAATACGTTCCCATCTGAAGAACAGAACATACATGTAGCTATTTTGCTGGAACTTGCTTTTCGTAGAATCATAGCATCATTAAGGTTGGAAAATATTTTTAAGCTCATCCAGTCCAACCGCGAACCCATCCCCATCGTGCTCACTAAACCACGTAACTCAGTGCTGTGTTCCCCTTTTACTTGAACACCCCCAGGGAAAGTGACTCCATCACCTCTGTGGGCAGCCTGTGCCTGTGCCTCACCACCCTTTTTTTTGAGTTTTTCCTAACATCCAATCTTCTGATCCTATTAGTCCCCTCTCTGCATCCAGCTCCACATTTTGAAGCTACAAATAAGGTCAGCAAATTATCTATTGAGCATCAAAACAAAGGAGTCTGATGTTTCTGGTCTTATTTTCTCTGGAACACGAGAAACTCAGGTTGAGCACACAATAAAGCTATTTCATTACAGAGATGTTAAGGTTCCCTATGGTTTCCAGGGGAAGCACTGTAAAACTGCTGTAGCAGATCAGAGTCCTGATGATGGACCAACATACATCGATCTGAGAGTTTCATATAGATCAGAATCAAAGCAGTTTGTTTTCTGTTTCAGTGCCTGAGATAAGGAAGGGTAAAGAGAGATCAAAAGAAAAGAAAGCATAAGGAATAATCAGACAATAAAATCTCCCACGTAGGCAGATTACCAGCTGGATGGCCTATGTAATCCAGGCATCATAGAAAGGTACAACCTTAAAATTAAGGCTTTAAGGTACTTCTGCAGCGTTTACAAGAAGGCCTACATGAGAGAAAGCTCCTTTCTGTTGAAATGATACAGAGCTGCAGCTGACCACTATCAGTTCAGATGTGTGAAAGTCAGGGAAACATTTTCAGGAGACAGATGAAATGATGCACACCCCTGTGCATCCACAACTTTACTGCAGCAGTAGCTAAACACGTGCTAGCAAAGAAAACTTCCAAGACAGAAGATCAGACCTTCTGATGAATGCATTAAGAATATGATTAGCAGAGATCACAGAAATTAAGGACGCTGTGTCAAGATTAAAATTCAACCTGGACAATGTGTTGAACGTTTGCCCAGGGAAAAGAAGATGAGGATGAAGAATTAGTGCTAAGAAAAAGTGACTACAGACTCTGAAGATTCAAATGGATTCAGGATACAGAAGCTAGCCTAGAAGTGGTCTTTAACAAATGGTTCAACACACTACTTGTAAAAATGTGGCTACTAAGGAATAACAGTGACAAAGCAAATCAAAACAACCCTGGTGACTTACTAAGAAGAGTTAGATCTTCATTCAGCCCACATATGAATCCTCCTATCTACAATAGAGAGATAATTAAATCAATTAATCAATGACTAAATGAGCTCACTTACTTCAGGGCATGCCTTTCATTTAGTCTGAACCGTCAACAGGCATCCTAATACCAATTTGTAATAATTTGCAAATTCAATTTAATTTCTTAGACGCAATGAGAAAAGGGGAATTGTCACAGAGAACAGAACTGCATTAAAGACACAGAACTCACTGAGTTAATGCACAACACAAATAGCAGTAAGCATCTGTCAGCAAGGCCCACTCCCTGCTCAGCAATGCTGACCATTCTGCATTCACTGTGCAATGGTTAGAACAGGTTTGACACGACATATGCAGCTGCCAGCCCACAGTGGTGTCCCCAAAGCACTGCCTTGCAGCTGGACTGAGTTTTCACGATGTATTCCCCTTTCAGCCCCTTGCAAATAATTTCATCAAGAGATTCCTTTTGCACAGAATTGCTTTGGATTTCTTTGTGGTATTAATACTGGCCAAGTAAATTCATTCTAAATTATCCCCACAATTGTCTACTGTAGCAACTGTGAAGGTTAAAAGGATGTAATGATGACTGGGGTAAGTAAGTATGTGCCATGTAACGTCAGCTGCAGAAAAGGACCTGGCAAAGTAAGATATAAGGAAAAAAAAGAGAAAAAAGGAGAAGGCAGTCTTCAGAAGGAAAACCTGATAGGGATAAGAATGCGGTACGCACATAGATCTGCATGCAAACTCCCAAGTGTAGAGCAGGTGACAAGAGGACAACTTGGCACAGTGCGGGGCTGTGCAACCAGACTGTGCAAAGTGCCCACATTCCGTAGCAAACGCAGAGCAGCATCCTCCAGAGGCATAGTCTGCCTCAGCAATGCTGGCTGTTCTAGCAGCTTCCTTTCAGCATGGAGAGAAAACAGGGAAGGAGACACAATCAGCAGAGAAGGGAAATCAGGCGAACAATGATAACATTAGTAGACTATATTAAGCCCTCTTTAATGGTAAAATTAAGTTAGGTTTCTATCAGCAGCAAGCCAAAATGTTTTTTTGCTGGCGCAGAATACAAGTGACTTCAGGAAGCCTACAGTCTTTCTGCTTAACGGGTGACAGCACAGAGCAGCATGACATGACTGTCTGTGAAGACGGCTGCATGGTGAGCACCCCTCGCCACCAGGCTGGGTGCCAGACATGCAGCCTGTCACCATGCCACCAGCCAGTCCTCTCCCCCCTGCTCACACTGCAGGTTAAGGGATGTAAAGGGAGAAATTGAGTTACGTGCCAGGCTTTTTTTTTTATTCTGCCTAAATTTTAGCAGGATGGAGAACCTGGAGTGATCAAACTCAAGTAGTTGTTAGGGTATCAACGTACGATCTTAGAGCCTGGTGTGACCTGCTGCTCATGATTAAAGGTGTCCCACTGGAGTGATTCTCATCTAGACTCAACTGCAACCCACATTTAGGTAAAAAAACAAAACAAACCATCAGCATGAGCATCAGGCCAAGTCCCCTGGCAGAGCCTGGAACCCGTCACTCAGGTTGGAAATTAGCAAAAATTTATCCTCAAAAAGCGTGGTGAGGCACTGGCACAGGCTGCCCGGGAAGGTGGTGGAATCACCATCCCTGGGGGTGTTCAAGAGAAGGGGCAATATGGCAGTGAGGGACATGGTTAGTGGGCATGGTGGGGATGGCCTTACTGTTACTCTAGATGATCTTAGAAGTCTTTTCCTCATTTCCAAATTAGATGACTGTATGATACGAGAAAAGCAATGGTGACACAGAGCTCCTTCTCTATCAAGGCAATGAGGAGGCAGCAGTCTTGCTACAAGAGTTCCTATCTAAAAGCAGGGTGTGTTTTTTACCATCGTAGCCTCCTGCTGCACCCCCTGTCCAGCCCAAAATATGGAAGCAGTGGACATCTAGCGCAACACCACGACTCCTGAAGTGGCCACACTACTCCTGGCACCCTGACAACCCCTCTCAGAGCTCATCTGAGCATTCCTGTGCTTGCTGCCCACATGCACACGACTGGATATACTGGTGCCCCAACTCTTGCTTAACACATCACAAACAAGGTTTCTTGGAAGTGCCTCCCTCTATCCTGATTGCTTTGTGTCCAAAATAGTGAGAACTACATCACACCCCCGCTATCCTCGTAAGTCCTGAAGTGTTCCCCAACAGCCATGGCTCAAAGTTCCCTTTCTGCTGTGGTGAAAACTGAGCAATTCTGTGATCCAGCACTTTTTCACAGCAGATGCAGGAAGTATTTCCTCATCCTGGCCCAGGCAGTGAGTTCCATAACCAAGAGCAAAAATCCAAGGACATAAAGCTCAGCATCTACGTGCTTTTCAGAAAATTCAGAACCTTCTCAGTACTGCCTGTTTCAAAAGTGTGCATGCTGCATGTACATAGCTAACGATGTGAAGCTAAAAATACACCACTTCTGCTGTTACCTCTGTCTGTGTGAAACTGGTAATATTCTGGATGAAAGTTTGTGTATAGGAAAAGGAGTAAGCAGAAGAATCTTGGATGTAATTGCAAGGACAGTAACAAACAGAAAGCACAATGGATGCAAAACAGAAGCACAGACTGAAATAAATGGAGGAATGAACATGATTATGTCTGAGGCACGGTAATACATGACAAACTTGCAGCAGAACTGTTACAGTGTCTTGCTGACTCTATTGTTAATCACAGTATTGCACCTCAGACGTTC